CGACTCGATGGCACATAATAATAATAATAATAATAATAATAATAATAATAAATAGGATGATAAATCTTTTCAAAACCTCACTTCTAATATGACATTTCTAGTACTTTCAATAGTAAATGGTTTTTCAATAAAGTGACTTGAGTTGATAGGTTCTGGACAATTCCCAGTGCCTCTGTGACAAGGTGAGTGGTCTAAAACAAATATAATTAACAATAGAAAACAAAAACAAAGTAACAAAACAAGTTTCCTTTTTTTTGGTGATGGCACTGATACAGATAAGTTCATTTACATTATACAGCTTCTTCCTTTTAAAAAATAGATTTGCAAGAATATTGTATCAGTCTGCATAGAGTTTTGCCAAGTTGTCTCTGATTCAAAGGCCTCTGGAAGTGGGTCATTTGTCAAGGTGTCAAAAGCCTCAGTCTGACTTAAAACAAAAAAAAACCCAAAACAAAAAAATAACAAAACAAAACAAAAAAACCCCACAAAAAACCAAAAAACCAAAACAAACAACCAAACAAAGCCACCAAACCACCAAAACATTGAGTGAGACTAGTACTCGATGTTTCTGTATTGTTCTGGAACCACCTTGAATTCCTACTTAAGTTGTCTCCCTTCCCTGAAATTACTCTTTCCCCTTTTTGCTACCTTGAGCCCCATCCATCGTTTAAGGTGCTCATCAAGTCCTGCTAGCAATTTGAGTCTTTCCTGAGTGCTCTGTGTCCTCCTCACATTCATTATCTAAATCTTTTCTTTATCAAGGATGGTGAAAACTTTGTCTCACATACTTTGGGCTTGTGGTTAGCAGGGGCTATTCTTCAGCAAAAAAGCCATCATGCTTGGTAAGGTGGAGGGCCAACAAAAGAGAGAAAGACCCTCAATAAGATGGACTGACAACAGGGACAGTAGCAAGGGGGTCAAGTACATCAGAGATAATGAGGATGGCACAAGACAGAGTAGGATAGAAATTTGCTCTTCACAGGGTTGCTAGGAGTCATTGTCGGCACCTGACAACAACAATAACAACAGCATCTTTTATCTCTCTTGTAATTCATTCTCTTCCTTGTTCTGACTTTGAAGCAGCTCATATGATCATTCTTATATTTTCCTGCAACTCTTCTAGACTAAGTAACTTTTCAGGTAGTTTCTTTCTCTACCTAGATATTACCTTCTTTAAACACTGAGAATCATCTCATTCCAGTTTTGAGTTCCAGCAGAACTCAGTCCAGCATTAGGAGGGTTTAATGATTTGGCCTTTGTATAATTCTGAATGACACAAAGGTGCTGGTGACTTAATGACTTTCTCCTAAGTCCAAGGCCGCCATATTATAACTTGCTCTGTGATGGCCTGCCTTGTAAACAGCGCTTCTTTTTTCTTTAGTCCTCCAATTACAGTTGTTTTAATTGTAATTTTTTAGTCAGTTATGTACAAAATATTTCATTCATGTACACTGTGTTTTATACAAGTTCTTAGATGCACTAGTGGGCTCTGAATTACTTAAACAAGCTGTTGACCCTTGTGGGATCCAGAGGCCAAAACCAAAGCCACCACTCATCCAGTGCAAAAGGAGTTTATGACTAAGAAGAGTGTGAGTGTGTTTGTGCGTGTATGTACACTTACACTCACATGTGCAGGGAGGAGGATGTAGAAGTACTGTGTGGTTCAGTGTTACTCAGGTACAAGGCATTATGAGAGCACTGAGGAGTGATAAATGGATTAAAAAATGGTAGTAAGGGTCAGTGGATAGGTTGTGGGGTTACTTTAGATTATGTTTCCTATTCATCTCTGTTATTTAATGAAGACGCTGTTGGTCATGAGTGCTTGGGTTAGTGACATCTAGGTTTCTTTATCCACAGTTCTAGATTCTAAAAGAAAACCTTTTGGTAGCCAGATAAAAGTTCAACAGTGCTAGCTTCTTACTCTGGGATATTTTAAGATTAGATTTTTTAATAATGATAATGACTTTTGAATGCATATATTTTTTTCCCCTGGGTAGTTTTACACCAGATGACATTTACAGGGATGCTGTGAGAAAACATAAGAGTTAAGAAAAAAACAACAGTTAATCAGAGAAAAAAATAAAAAATAGACGACTTCCCCTTCAGGCGAGTTTGCTGAACCATACTCTGAAAGTGGATTACAGGGGACAATGCAATTCTACTTGCAGAACCTAAGGGGGGAAATCCACCAGGTATTTCCTGAGGGAGGAAATGAATGCTACTTGAAAACTACTATCCAGTTATTTGGCATGTGTTGGAACTCCTTCCACTTCAGCCACAAAACTTGCCAACAACTTAAAAAACTGAAGCTGCAAAGTAGGTCTGTCTTGTGTTTTGCAGGTAATTTTCCCCCTTGATGTAATTTTCAGTTTCCCAGTATTTTCTTACATCTTGCCCTACTCCCACGGACCTCCTATTCCTACTCTCTCTGATGTGGTTAAATATGCAGTTGACTCTTGAACTATGAATGTTGGAATGCTCCTTAGGAAAGATGATATGAGTAACATCACTGTACAATTTTAGCAGATACTTGTAATTATTGAGGGAGCTCGGGTAGCCTAGTGGTTAGGGAGTTACATGGCCAACTCAAAGGCAAATGGTTCAAATTCACCAGCTGTTGTATGGGAGAAAGATGAGAAATTTCCTCCTATGCCATTTACAGCCTCATATACTTCACTGGAGTATCTGATTTGAGTTGGTTCCTATTTGATGGCAATTGGTTGAGCTCATCACAACAGCAACAAGAAAAAGAATTGTGTGTACACACAGTTCAAACCTATGTTATTCAAAGGTTAACTGTAAATTACACATGGATTTTGACTGTGTAGGAGGTTGTTGTTGTTGCTAAGTGCCACTAAGTCAACTAAAATTCATAGCAACCCTACCCGATGCTGTCATCATCTCTGATATACTTGAGTTCATTGATAAAAAACACTGTGTCAGACTTTCTTGTTGAATGTCTTCCTCCATTTTGATGACTTTTCCAAGGATAATGGCCTTTTCCAAGGACCAAGACCTCCTAACAACACGCCCAAAGCATGTGAGACAAAGTTTTGCTATCCTTGCCTCTAAAGAGCAACTTGCACAGGAGGTAGGTTCCCCTAAATGTGTGTTGTTCAAAATTAACCTCTATTGTTCTAAGAAAGCCTGCATTCTTAGCAGGGGATCTGATGTTTTAGGATAGCTTTTATGTGTATATTTAATATAGAACCCTCCAGTGTGGAGCATCAGGGTAGATACAGGCATTCTACAACAAAGGAATTCATCAACTCTTTTAGAAGCAAGGTTGGCTCTGATGGGAAGTCTTCTCCCTCAAAATAATGGGAATTATTTGGTGCCAGAACAGATATGTCAAATGAAAAGAAAGCTCTTACATGTTCAGGTCTTAGGGGACCTTCATTTATCTAAGACTGTAAATAATTAAAACTGTATTGCTTGAGAAAAATGAGAGGAGAGAGTTACCTCGGTCAAGACTATGACCATATCTGAATCCCTGAAGTGACATTGGACTTGAAAAACTGAACAATATTTATTTCAAAAGTGTCTGGAATAAATAGCAAATGTTCCCTTGAAATGGACATGTCTTACCCCTTTCTCCTGGGCCCATCATGACTTGTCTTCTGCCCAGCAGAGGATGACAGGTCTGATTTTTCTGCTTGCTCTTGGCTCTGTATTTCTTCAGCTTCTCCTTAAAAGCAAACAGAAAGCACATTTACATACCAAATAATCAGAAATGAGAGTAATTTTCTATTCTGCATTCACGTTCCTAGAATAGCGCAGCCCAAAGACATTTATAATGACTGACAATGATAAGTTTTCCAGACATAGCTCTGTCTAAGTTGTTGAGTATTCCAGAGTTAACTGAGGGCTAGAATTAGGACTCTTCTGTGGGAATCTGCTGAGACATGCCTCCTGGGGATGATTGCAATAGTAGAGCAAATATAACATTTCTCTACAGTCATTTCCAGGACAGGGGAACCTGGGCTCATGAGCATTACCAATCTCTAGAGTCAGAGCATGCATGGTGTTCTAGAAATGGCACCCTGATTTTGGAGCACATAAGTCAGACTCCCTGGGGAGGGCCACCTGTCCATACCCCTGGTGATTTGGGAAACATCTCATGCTTTGAAAGGGGATAAAAGCAGTCATAGCTGTATGCTCAATTAGAAGTCTACTTCACTGTGTCCCTCTGTGCCATCAGGCCTAAGGTTATCCATTTACAAAAGCCTTTCTTTGCCACTACCACATGAAGAATTGGTTCCAAGCTTTCCAACTCTACCTTCCAGACTTAAAAGCAACTGCACACTTCTCTTTTTCATATAAAAGGTGGAAAAGACTAAGAACAGAACAAAATGTCTGTTCCAATCTGTGCTACAATCTTCATGAAAAACATGGTTCTAAATACAAGTTAAATTCAATACTTAACCAATTAAATTCTAGTTTGCATACACTGTACGGTATTCTCAAAGTGGGCTTTTTCTTTTTATTAAGTGTCAAGATAATCCTTCATTGAGTGTGACAGTACTGTGCATCATAGGCCATTTGCATTCCTGGTCCCTGGCCACTAATTGCTGGTATCACTCAGTCATTCTGATAAGCAAAGAAATCTTCCTTGTATTGTCAAATGCTTCTCTGATTTTTTTGTTTCATTTTTTTATGGCAGTAGGAGGTAGGAAGAAAGACGGACAATCTTCATCCTGTGTGATTTAAAACCTCCAAAAAACCCACTGGCAGGTCAGTTATGAGTCAGTTCTGACTTGATGGCAATGAGTTAGAGTTTTGAATTAGGAGACAGGGGAAGGAAAATAGTGAGAAACCATATATTAAGAAACACATCCTTTGAGACAAATTTGAAAGAAATACAGTTGAAAAAATCAAGGATTACTTTTTTTTATGATGTGAATCATTTAATTTCTTTTATGCTAGTTTTTAAAAAGTTGAGTAAAATATTGGCAGTACATTCAGGAAAACAACTGTCTGTGATGAAGATAAGTGCCTCCTTTCAACATCTAAGTGTGTCATATATATGGAAAATCACTGTTCATTTTGTTTTCTCCCGGCTTCCTCTTCCTGTAATGAATAACAGACTTAGAAAAAAAGTCTAGAAAAGACTTAGAGAAAGAGTCATCAGACTCTTTGCACACTATCAAGTTTTATAATGACCTAAGGGATTCAGGAAACTCAACTGTATCTGTCACATAATGCAAAGAGGTAACTTAGCCTACCAAAATGATGGTTAAGGAAGTTTTCAATAGTAAATAATTGCTTTTACTACCTGGACTTCTTCTTAGGATAGACTGCCGGACAACATCAGTGCCCAAAACATTGACTTGCTTGAAACGCTTTGCCTTTTCTTCAAAAAACCATTCTCCAGTTAAAATCCTTAGCTGCCTATTCAAGGGAACAGGAGAGAACATAGGAATTCAATTGTTTAGCATAATTAACTCTCAAAACTTTCTAACCAAGTAACAAATCACTAGTTGTTTATAGGTACAGAGGACAGACGTTATCATTCTTTGGAAGCATTTTATGGTAATAATAATGGCCATTCTTAGTTGAATACCTACTGAATGCCAGGTATTTTTTGACTGACCATTTTTCTTTTATTGGTTTGCATTCAAAATTTGTATAGATTGTGTTTCATTCATATACACTGTTTCATACATTCCTTCATTCACATTGTGTTTCATATAATCATTCTCATACATTAGTTTTATAGAATTAATCACCATTGATCTATGCTCTTTTCAGGGCCCTGCTGGATCTTTCTTAATTCCTTCATCCCTTTCTGTGACCACCAAACTCTGTAACCCTGTGATTTGCCCCCCTCCCCACCCTCAGTGACCCTGTTCTTTTCCTTTGCCTGTTTGGACTTGTATACACTTCTTACAAATTATTCTTCTATTGGTCTTATTTGGAAGCAGGAGTGGCATCCACATCCATAATAGCTTGCCTCTGGAAACCCTATGAACCTGGAGAAGGGATGAAAGTTATAGAAGTGTCTAGGACTTTCGTTCATAGGGTCGCCTATGACTCGATGACACTTAACAACAACAACAATGGTCTTACGCAGTATTTGTCCTTGTGAGGAGGCTGAGTTAGTTCACCCAGCGTAATGCTCTCTAGTTAATCTCATGTCATATAGTATTTTTATTCATATTGCTATTATTGTTGCTGTTATTGTTATGTGTTGTCGAGCCACCTGTAATTCTTACCAATCTTCTGTATATTAGCTCAGAAACCTGCTCTACTCTGAGCCAATCTCATCATCTCCAACAGACCTAATCCCATTTCTTCAGTCACTGAGTCCTTCTCATTCTGCGTCTTCCTCTCCTGCACTGTCCCTCCACACTTCCAAGCATGATGTCCCTCTCCAAGGACTAGACCCTCCTGGCCACATGCCAAAAGTATGTGAGGCAGAGCCTCAAAATACTTGCCTCCAGGGAGCAGCCTGCTTTCACACTCTCTATGACAGCCCTGTTTGTTCCTCTAGCAACCCACAGTATGTTCAACACTCATCTCCAGCACCACAACTCAAAGGCATCAATCTTTCTTCTATTATCCTTAGTGATTATCCAGATCTTGGATGTATAGCAAGTAATTGCAAATACCATGGCCAGATCAGGAACACCTCAGTTTCTAGATGGACATCATTGCTCTTCAGTACTCTAGAGAGGTCCCTGACAGTAGACTTTCCCAATGCAATTCGTCTTTTTCTTTTCTAACTGCTAGTGCCAAGACTGTTGATTGTGGAGCCAAGAAATCTGCAGTTATCAACAATCTGAAGCTCCTCTGCATTCCTCATGAAGCTTCTAACTGGCCCAGTGGGGAGAATTATTGTTTTCTTGATGTTGAGCTTCAATCCATATTGAAGGCTACAGTCCTTGACATTCTACAGCAAGCACTTCAGGTCCTTTGCAGTTTCAGCAAGCAAGGTTGTGTCATCTGTATAACACAGGTTTTTGATGAGTCTTCATCTAATGCCACATTCCTTATCATAGAGCCCAGCATCCCAAATGATCTCCTCCACATATAGACTAAAAAGGCATGGAGACAGGATGTATCCTTGTTATGCATCTTTCCATGCAGTGTTTCCTTACTCTGTTCTGACTATTGCCTCCTGGTCCAAGCACAGATTTCACATGAGCATTAAGTGTTCTGGGATCCCCATTCTTCTCAAGGTTAGCCATAATTTGCTGTGATCCACACAGTCAAATGCCTTTGTATAGTCAATGAAACACAGACACTTCTCTGGCACTCTCTGCTTTCAACCAAGATTCATTTAACATTGACTATGATGTCCCTAGTGCCACAATCTCTTCTAAACCCAGCCTGCACATATGGAAGCTCTCTGCTGATATATTGTTCCAGGTGTTACTAGATAATCTTTAGCATCATCTTGCTTGCACGTGATATTAGTGATATTGTTCGATAAGTTCCACATTCTGTTGGGTTATCTATCTTTGGAATAGGAATCAACACAGATCTTTTTCAGTTGGTAGGCCAGGTAGTTTTTCTCCAGATGTCTTGATGTAACCTGGTGAGCGTGTCCAGGGCAGCATCTGTTTGCTGAAATATGTCAATCAATATTCCATAAATTCCTGGAGCCTTGTTTTTTGGTTTGTTTTGTTTTTTGTTTGTTTTTGCTTCCCCCCCCCCCAATTCCTTCAGAGTCGCTTGAACTTCCTCCTTCATCACCACAGGCTCTTGATCATATGTTGTTTCATGAAATTCTTCTGTGTCAGCCAATTCTTATGGCATAGTGATCATTCCATCTTCCTTTGGTATTTCCTGGGTCATTCAAAATTCTGTGTTCAGCATCCTTAAGTATTGTAACTCAACGCTTGAATTTGTTCTTCAGTTCTTTCAGCTTAAGAAATGCTGGGTAAGTGCTTCCCTTTTAACCTTCCGACTCCAGCTCCTTGCACATTTCATTATAATACTTGCTTTGTCTTCCCGCGCTACCTCTTCCCCTCCATTTTCCCTTAGGAATGAGTTTAATAATAAAATCAGTGGGGCTCAGCAGTTTCAGAAACTGTTGGTTTTCTCAAATCATTAAGCAGCACAACACATTTTGTTGTTTAAACTCATGCTCAATTCGTATGTCAACTGTGTCTATTATGCTCATTCATTCTGATAATTTAAGCCTTCAGATGCAAGGGAACTCCAGTTCTGCAGGACCTCAGCAGAAACTGGCAGGGCCATGTGTGGATAAAGTTCCTAAGAACCAGTAAATGGGACAAAGCTGAACATTCATTAAGCCTATTCTTTGTTGTCTACTTTCTCGCAGGGGTCAGTGTGCATCTTCCCGGGTGGCACTTAATTCCAGGTGCATGTGGGATAGACAGGAATACTTTCTGTGCTAACTTGACATAGGAGAGGGCATCCCCTGGGATACCTACTGCTGCTCTAAGCCCATGTGTCTAGTTTCTGCAGTTCAACAAACATGCCTCAGTTCAATTTTCAGTATTTTTCTGGATGTGCCTTGTAATGATGTGGGTGATGATGCTTCAGATGTCTACTATGAGCAGAGAATGGGAGCTCAGGGGTCCAGACAGAGTGCTAGCCGGCCCCTCCCCAGCCTGGTCAGCGTCTGTACTTCCAGTCGGAACATGTGGCCTGCCTCAGGTTACAGTTCCAGATCTTGTCCATCAGTTTGCTATATCTGTGCTGCCTTTTGAAATCTTCTGTTCAGTCCCTTTACTTCTTGATAATATTCAGATTACCTTCTGTCATCCATTTTGGTCTTTTCTTTCTCCTTTGTCTTTGTTTTTAAAATGAAATTTTTATTTTATACTGATTCACTTACAAAGTTTTTATACATTGTTTTTCACACGAGATCTTTCCCCTTTCTTACATCCACTCCTCCCTCCACCCATCAAATTGTCAACCTTATGATTAACCACCCCCCACTGCCCATTCTCACCCCTCTGCTTCCACTCTTACCCCCTTGGATCCTCATACATGCTCTACAATAATTTTTATACAGTATTTGTCCTTATAGAACTGAGTTAGTTCACTTAGCATAATGCTCTCCAGTCCCTCTCAAGTTAGGGAGCAATTTTCAAGGCCATTGCTCATGCATACTTAGTATTCCATCTTCCGAATGTACCATAATTTCTCAATTCATTTGATTGTGGTTGGACATTTGGGCTGTATCTGTTTTCCTGTGATGGTGAATAACATTGCTCTGAACATTGGTGTAAAAGTTTCTATTTGTACCTCAGTTTTAATTTTCTGAGTATATTCCAAGCAGTGGAATAGCTGGGCCATAAGGAATGTCTAGATTCAGCTTTTTGAGGAAATGCCAAACTGCCTTGCAAAGTGGTTGTGCCATTTTATTATCCCACCAACAGTGTATAAGCGTTTTTATGTATTACTTGTTGTCCTGTTAAACTTTGCCACTGCTACTGGAGTGAAATGGTATCTCATTGTGGTTTTGATTTGCATCTTTCTTTATTGCCAGTGATTTTTAGCATTTTTCCCATGTGTCTGTTGGCATCTGAACATCCTCCTGTGTGAAAAGTCTTTCCATGTCTTTTGTCCACTTTGTATCTTTTTGTTGTGGAGGCCCTGTAGGATTCTGTAAACTTTTTATATGAGACCCTTATCTGAAATGGTATTGCCAAATGCTTTTTCCCACTCAGTAGGTTTTCTTTTCACTCTGTTGGAAACGTTTTTTTATATGCACAGGGATTTAATTAATAAAAGGTCCCATTTATCCTCTCCAGATTGTGCATTTCTGCCTGTATTTGGAAGAATTTTTATACCTTAGACTGGGCCGTCTAAGCCCAGTTTGCTCTGAAGAACTTTATGGGTTTGGGCTTTACTCTCAGGCCTCTGATCCACCTTGAGTTGTTTTATTTTTATATGGTATGAGATGTGGATCCTGTTTCAACTTTCTGCAGGTAGCAGTCCAGTTTTGCTAGTATCATTTGTTTAAAAGGTTGTTATTTTCCCATTTGATATATTGTATTTCCTAGCGAAATATCAGTTGACTGTAGATAAATATGGGTCCATGTCTGTGTTCTCGATTCTTTTCCATTGGTCTATGTGCCTATCATTGTACTAGTACTGTGCTGTTTTGGTTACTACACTGTGTAATAGGTTTTGAGGTCAGGAAGTGCTATAGTTCCTACTTGGTTTTTGTTTTTCAGAAGTGCTTTGCTTATTTGCGGTCTCTTTCCACTCCAAATAAACTTGACATTTTCCCTTTTGATATCCTTGAAAAATGAATTTGTATCTGTATTGGGATAGTAGTGAACATGTAACTTGGTAGGATTGTCGTTTTCACAATATTGAGTCTTCCTATCCATGAATAGGGAATATTTTCCACTTAATTAGGTCTCTCATAGTGTCTCACAGAAATGTTCTGTAGTTTTATTTGAACA